ACTCACTGGGAAACTAGCCATAGAAACAATTGCAGGGAAGGTATAAAACAAAAAAAAACTTTTAAAGCGATTGCTTTTCAAGTCCAAAGCAGTATTGGTGGATTTCAAAAAAAAGGGAATCATCAAGTAGAATGGGAAAACACTAGCTGAGAGGATAGCTCAGAAAAAAACAGAACTTTAAAGACACTTTACTGACTTCTATACCATGGTGGAAGATGCAAAAAAAATGTAACCATCAAAGGCAGAATTTAAAAAAAAAAAAGAAAAGCACTTTGGCAAAAAAAAGAATCGTCTGAAGAATTTTAGTAAGGGCCTTTAAGTTCACAGCACAGTTTACGATGATCTCATTCACAGATAAATTTACTGTCACTTGAACAGATGTTTAAAAATACTGGCCAGGCATGGTGGCTCACTTGAGGTCAGGAGTTCAAGACCATCCTGGCCAACAAAAAAAAACCCCGTCTACTAAAAATACCAGAAAAATTAGCCAGGTATGGTGGCACATAAAAAAAATCTCAGCTACTCGGGAGGCTGAGGCACGAGAATCGCTTGAACCTGGGAGGCAGAGGTTGCAGTGAGCTGAGATCCTACCATTGCACTACAGCCTGGGCAACAAGAGAAAAAAACCATCTCAAAAAAGGAAAAGAAAAGAAAAAAAGAAAAAGCCACGGGCATAAAAAAAAATCAGGAGAAGAGAGAAAAAATCTGAAGTTCAGCAACTGGGAACAGTTGAAAAAAAAACAATGCCACCACACAATGGCAGCCTGTCAGAAAAAAGCAGGAGGGCTGAACAGCACTGGAAAATGTGTACGCTTAACATTTAATTCTGAGTATGACTACGTAAAACAAAAAAATGAAAAAACAAAGGAAACATTCTAAGTAATAACAGTTCTATTAGTTAGCGTGATATGATTACAGGTGATTTATTTTTTTCTTTTTATTTTCTCCAAGCTTCCTGTACAAAAAAAATTTTATTGGGTTTGTGTTTGTTTGTTGTTTGAGAAGAAGTCTCGCTCTGAAAAAAAGGCTGGAGTGCAGTGGCTATTCACAGGCACAATTATAGCTCACTGTAGTCAAAAAAACCTGGGCTAAGAGATCCTCCCGCCTCAGCCTTCTGGGGAGCTGGAACTACAAAAAAATGCCACCATGCCCAGGTAATTTTTAAATTTTTTTGTAGAGAAAAGGTCTTAAAAAAATGCCCAGGGTGGTCTTGAACGCCTGGCCTCCAGTAATCCTCCCAGCTCAGAAAAAAAACAAAGCACTGAGATTACAGGTGTGAGCCACTATACCCAGGCTATTGTTTAAAAAAAAGTAAAGTAATGGGGGAAAGAGAGAAAAGCATATAAGAGAGCCAAATCCTCACTACCATAGAAAGTCAATGGATAACATCTAAAATTGATGAGCCAACTTATAATAGAAAAAAAATTTTAAAACGCGGAACTACCAGAAGGAACCACTAAGAGCTGAGAGCACAAAAAAAACGGTGGCTCACGCCTGTAATCCCAGCACTTTGGGAGGCCAAGACGGGTGGAAAAAAAGAGGTCAGAAGTTCAAAACCAGCCTGGCCAACGTGGGGAAACCCTGTCTCAAAAAAAAACACAAAAATTACCCGGGCGTGCTGGTGCGTGCCTGTAGTCCCAGCTACAAAAAAAGCTGAGGCAGGAGAATCGCTTGAACCAAGGAGGCGGAAGTTGCAGTGAGCAAAAAAAGCTCCACTGCACTCCAGCCTGGGTGACAGAGTGAGACTGTCTCAAAAAATAAAAAAATAAGAACCAAACAAACGATAACCTTTGCCTCGGCCTACCCCTCCCAGTATAAAAAAACATCTATCCTGCTGTACCGCACTAATAAAACACCTTTTGCTTTTTGCCTCAAAAAAACCCCTGGATATAAACTCTTCACACGTACATCTCTGGGATTTCTCCCTGAAAAAAAAATTTAGGTGTTCGATCAGATGCGAATGGCGACCGAAGTTCTTCCCGCACTCATTGCAGCCGTAAGGCCTCTCTCCGCTGTGGACACTGTGGTGCTGAACCAGGTGGGAACTCACCCGGAAAGCCTTTCCGCACACCTGACATTTGTAGGGTTTCTCCCCGGTGTGGACCCGCTGGTGCTGGGTGAGGTGCACCCGCTGATTATAGCTCTTCCCACATTCTCCGCACTTAAACGGTTTTTCTCCAGTGTGGATGCGCCGATGCTGAATAAAGTTTGAGGCAAAAAAAAAGAATTTGCCACAATCGCTGCATCTGTGCCCTCTCTCGCCATGTGTGCTTTGCTTAGGGCTGAGGTCTGTGATCGCGTCCGGATTCCTTTTCTGGGAAGGATTCTGCCTTGATTTCCCCACGGTGGGGTTGACCTGCCACCTTTGCACCATGCCCTTAAGGTCAAAAAAATCTGCAAAGTCTGGATCCTGGGGAACGCTCCTTTCGGTGTGTTCTGGCGCCACCCAGTGTGATTCAGCGTCATCAGAAATCTGCTTCACTATGAGCTCCATATTGTCAAAAAAATCATAACCTGAAATAACAGAGGGAGAATGAAAAAATGAGCTCTTCCTTGAAAAAAAAGAAATAAAATGAGGGGACAATGAAGTGAAACTGACAAGTGCTAGGGATCCAAAAAAATGTAAAGGGACTTTTAGAGTACCGGGATGGGATGAAAAATATTCAAGCAGAAAAAAAGAGGAGGTTAGGGAAGGAAGAGCTGGCAAAGAAGGTTCAAAGGAAGGAGAAAAAAAATCAGTCATTCCACTGAACGAAGAGGGTCTCCTCTCAGTATGGCACTTGCAAATACCTGTATCATGTTAAATGTTCTCGTGTGTGTGCGCGCGCGTGTGTGTTTTGAGACAGGGTCTCACTCTGTCACCCAGGCTGGAGTGCAGTGGGGCAATCATGGCTCACTGCATCCTCAACCTCTTGGGCTCAAGCGATCCTCCCACCTCAGCCTCCCGGGTGGCTAGAAAAAAAGGTACACACCACCATGCCCAGCTAATTTTTGTATTTTTTGTGGAGATGAGAAAAAAATTATGTTGCCCATGCTGGTTTCAAACTCCTGAGCTCAAGTGATCCTCCCACCTCAGCCTCCTTTCAAAGGGCTGGGATTACAGACGTGAGCCAACATGACTGGGCAAAAAAAAATTTAATTTTTCTTTTTTCTTTTTTTTTTTTGAGATGGAGTCTCGCTCTGCAAAAAAAGCTGGAGTGCAGCTCCAGGTTCAAGCGATTCTTTTGCCTCAGCCTCCCGAAAAAAAAGCACTACAGGCGCAAGTCACTACGCCCGGCTAATTTTAGTAGAGACAGGGAAAAAAAATATTGGCCAGGATGGTCTCAAACTACTGACCCACTGATCCGCCCACCTCAAAAAAACAAAGTGCTGGGATTACAGACGTGAGCCACCGCACCCGGTCGCAACTGGGCAATATTCTTAATAAAATTGGATAGCAGGTTATGCAGCTAACTCCATCTTCACCTTCCTCTTCCTGTGAATTCATAGCCTGAGAAGAAAGGTGATCTTTCTAGGTTTCTCAGTGAAAAAAAGATTTAAGCTTGGTACGAATTAATCTAAAGGAAAAAAGACATTCTTTCCAAAAAAAAAGAACCTACTACTTCCAAGAGCTAGGTTAACATTCAGCAGTCACTGATAAACGTGGATGTTTCAGTGGCTAAAATTAGTTCCTTTGTGCACCTGTATCAGCAAGATACTTTACTCAAAACACTGACGTTTAATAAGGTTTGCACAGACAGAGCAAGCTCTGTCAAAAAAAATGGAACACAGCAGCACAATCACAGCTTACTGTTACTTCTAACTCCCTGGTAAAAAAAACCCTCCCACCTCAGCCTCTACAGGTGTGCACCACCACGCCTGGCTAATTTTTGTATATTTTGTAAGGGTTTGTCTCACTATGTTGCCCAGGCTGGTCTTGAACTCCTGGCCTCAAGTGATCCTCCTTCCTTGGCCTCCCAAAGTGCTGAGATTACAGGCATGAATTCCTGCGCTCAACAGGACAGCGTGTTCACTTCCTCCTCCCCTTGTCTCTCTATGGAGTCATGTCTCTCGAGCCAAGGTCAGTCCTTCCTCCTTCCTGTACCCCAGATCTCACCATACCTTCCTGCTTTCCAGGGATCTCCCCACATCACCTAACTGCCCCTCCATTTTTAAAAAAATCTTTTTTTTGAGACAGGGTCTCACATTGTCACCTAGGCTGGAACGCAATAAAAAAATCTCAGCTCACTGCAACCTCCACCTCCCGGATTCAAGCAATTTTCCTGCCTCAGCTCCTAAGTAACTGAGAGTACAGGTGTGTGCCACCATGCCTGGATAATTTTTGTATTTTCAGTAGAGACAGGGTTTTGCCACGTTGGCCAGGCTGGTCTCAAACTCCTGAAAAAAAAATCTGCCTGCCTCAGCCTCCCAAAGTGCTGGGATTACAGGCATGTAATCTAAAAAAACTATCTGCTCCTCCTTGCTTCCATATTTTACTCTACTAGTTCTTCTCCAGAAAAAAATAAATATGCTGAAAATTTCTCCCATTAAAAAAACATACGGGCCAGGCGTGGTGGCTCACGTCTGTAATCCCAGCACTTTGGAAGGTCGAGGCGGTTGGATCACCTGAGGTCGGGAGTTTGAGACTAGCTTGGCCAATGTGGTGAAACCTCACCTCTACTAAAAATACAAAAAGTAGGCGGGTGTGGTGGAGGGTGCCTGTAATCCCAGCTACTCAGGAGGCTGAGGCGCGAGAATAGCTTGAACCCGGGAGGCAGAGGTTGCAGTGAGCCGAGATTGTACCACTGCATTCCCGCCTAGGTAACAGAGCGAGATCTGTCTGGAAAAAAAAAAAGAGAAAAAAAAAAAACAATCCACCCATCCAACCCATTATTCTTTCAGTGACCAGGCCTCATTTCCCCTTCAGAGACAAAGTCCTTACATTCATCTATGATAGCTTTTTCAAATTCCACTCCTTCGCAATCTTCAAAGAAACTGTCTCTTGTTCCCCAACACCCCTGCCGCTCCAAAAAAAATGCTGCCTCCAAGACTCATTTACTTATGTTGTAAAAATCTCACTTCTAAAAAAAAAAAGTACTTTCTTTAATTTTGACTTTTGGTGATGCTGTAATTAATAGAAATCCGCAGATGTGAAAATAATCTAATATGGCCTTCCAAGAGAAGTGAAGGAGGTAGAAACAAAAAAAATGTGATCAATGTAGAATAGTGTACTGAAGTGATAAATACAGATGTTGTAAAAAAAAGACAGAGAATGAGAAAAACATCAGAAACTACACATTTAAAACTGCTTAGAGAGGCCGGGCGCGGTGGCTCAAGCCTGTAATCTCAGCACTTTGGGAGGCCGAGACGGGCGGATCATGAGGTCAGGAGATCGAGACCATCCTGGCTAACACGGTGAAACCCCGTCAAAAAAAAAAAATACAAAAAACTAGCTGGGCGAGGTGGCGGGCGCCTGTAGTCCCAGAAAAAAAGGAGGCTAAGGCAGGAGAATGGCAGGAACCCGGGAGGCGGAGCTTGCAGTAAAAAAAGATCCGGCCACTGCACTCCAGCCTGGGCGACAGAGCGAGACTCCGTCTCAAAAAAAAAAAAATAAAAAAAATAAAAAAAAAAACTGCTTAGAGAATACCACAGAAAAGAACTATGCCAAGAACCTCAAACTCTGAAATCCATTAGGTACCTGTAAAGTAACTGAAAAAAAAAAAGCAAGAGTAACAGGCTCAAATAAACAAGCAAGCTATTGGTAATTAATAAAAAAAGAAGAAAAATTTTCTAAATTTGCATTAAATATAACATTTATACTATATGAAAAAAAAACTGAGATAAAAGGCTCCATGAAAAATCAATAATAAAATTATTGATTTAAAAAAAAATTTTAAAGCATAAATTTGACTTTTTTCCACAAAAATTCAAACATCAAAATAAAAAAAGACTACTGAGATCCAATAGATTAATGAACAGAGGCATGCACAATAAATCAAAAAAGGAAATAAATACAAATAAATATGGAAATTTAAAAGAGCAGGAGTCAGCTCTATACTGTAATAAAAGCCTGTAAGCCAAACTGAATGGTTAAACAATGTATAAACTGACACAGTGTTTTCTTTTTTTTTTCTTTTTTTTTTTTTTTTGAGACGGAGTCTCGCTGTGCTCCCGAGCTGGAGTGCAGTGGCGTGATCTCAGCTCACTGCAAGCTCCGCCTCCCGGGTTCACGCCATTCTCCCGCCTCAGCCTCCAAGTAGCTGAGCACTACAGGCGCCCGCCCCACGCCGGCTGTTTTTTGTATTTTTAGTAGAGACGGGGTTTCACCTGTAGCCAGGGCAGTCTCGATCTCCTGACCGCCTCGTGATCCACCCGCCTCGGCCTCCCAAAGTGCTGGGATTACAGGCTGAGCCACCGCGCCGCCGACACAGTAGCTTCTAGTCAAAGAAAATTTTGCATTGGTAGGGCTGGCTGGCTACTCACAGCCTGTGTACATTCCCAAGCAACTTGGGAGGCCAAGCTTGGGCAAGACCCGAGGTCAGGAGTTTGAGACCGCCTGGCCAATATGGTTGAAACCCTGCCTCGACCCCTACTAAAAAGTACCAAAAATACCGGGCGTGGTGGCTCATGCCTGTAACCCCAGCTATTCAGCAGGCTGAGGCAGAAGAATTCCTTGAAACCAGGAGGCGGAGGTTGCAGGGAGTCGAGATCATACCATTGCACTCCAGCCTGGGAGACAGAGCGAGACTCTATCTCAAAAAAATAAAAAAATAAAATAAATATATTTTGCAGTGTGTATGTTTGCATCTGAAGTCTTCCAGTATGCCTGATAGAGTGGTTCTTCTAAAAGAATTTACTAAAAAAAGACTAAAAGCTATAATCTCCAAAATGTTTGCAGGAGTGCTGAGATTTTTATAACTGCTCCAGACAGTACAATTAAATATTAGCTTCCAGGATTATAACTTAGTTAGAAATAGGGCCACAAAATTCAAGAAGCGATATGACACGTAAAATGTAGGTGCCAAGGCGAACATCATAAAACAGGTATCGGTGACTTAAGAATGGTAATGAAGTCCTCCTGAGTAGCTGGGATCACAGGCGCCCGCCACTGCGCCCGGCTGATTTTTGTATTTGTAGTAGCGATGGGGTTTCACCATGTTGGCCAGACTGGTCTTAAACTCCTGACCTCAGGTGATCCACCTGCCTCGACCTTCCAAAATACTGGGATTACAGGCATGAGCCACCACAGCCGGCCCGCTCTTATTTTAAAGTAGTAAAAAGTTAGCATTTGCTGGATTGCAAAAACAGTCCCCCCAGGTACTATCAGTGTCTAATCATACTCTTAAGATAGAAACGATCAGAATAAGCTGAATAAGAAAGTGAAGGTTGATTTATTCTTTTACAAAAAGAAAAAAAAAAGCAAAGTCATAGCACATAAAACATAAATGCCATTATAGGGTGTGCTAGAAATACTCTTTAAAATATAACAAAATAAAGATGTCCTAATCCATGCAGATGAAATAATCCTTACCCATGGAAGTAATACTCCCATAGTTCTCCTTCCTGTCATCCCTATAAAGGGACTTCTGGGACTGGTCCAAATGTCCCCATTCCTCCAGGATGAAGGATACAGCCACATCAGCCACCTCTTCAATTTTCACCAACTTCTGAAACAGGAGATCTCCACTAAATTCTCATTCCCTATATCCAAATTTGGAGTGAGGGGAAGAACTGGGCTCATTAAGAAAAGAAACAAGGAGGAACTGTGCCTCAAAGAGGATGGGGAAGGACTAGGCAGAAAGGAAAAAGGCCAAAGGAATGAAGGTACCAACCCAAGATGGGCCTGGTCACTGGCTAAAGAAACTGAACTCCTGGTGAAGGTTCAGGATGGGTCCTCTCTGCGGGCAAAGGGGCACCAGCTCACCTGGGACCCAGTTGAGAGAAGTGAAGCTGTCAGCTCCTGGCTGTCCTTCAGGGGAAGGGAAGGAACTTGGAGAACAGGAAGGGCTAAGGGAGGAGAAAAAGAGGTTTAAGTGAGAACATCTTTGCCCGGTTCTCATTGCCATCATGTTCCTCTTATGCTCAGGAATCCATAATGGCCCCTACTGCACTGAAGCCAAATTCTTCTGCCTGGCTGTCAAGACCCTCTAATTTCTGGATCCTCTCACACTGTGTTATTTCTCCTTTCCCCTAGACTTCCTCTGTTGGTCAGGCTAATCCCTGCTTGTCATTCTGCTATAAAGGATGCATTCTGTGGCCAGGCACAGTGGCTCGTGCCTGTAATACCAGCACTTTGGGAGGTCAAGGCGGGCAGATCACTTGAGGCCAGGATTCAAGGCCATCCTGGCCAACAAGGCAAAATCCCGTCTCTACTAAAAATACAAAAATTAGCCAGATGTAGTGATACATGCCTGTAATCCTGGCTGCTTGAGAAGCTAAGACATGAGAATCACTTGAACCTAGGAGGCAGAGGTTGCAATGAGCCAAGATTGCACCACTGCACTCCAGCCTGGGCAAGAGAGTCAGCCACTGTCTCAGAAAAAAAAAAAAAAAAAAGACTGGGTGTGGTGGCTCACACCTGTAATCCCAGCACTGTGGGAGGCCAAGGCAGGCGGATCACAAGGTCAGGAGTTCGAGACCAGCCTGGCTAATATGGTGAAACCCCGCCTCTACTAAAAATACAAAAATTAGCCAGTGTGGTGGCGGGTGCCTGTAGTCCCAGCTACTCAGGAAGCTGAGGCAGGAGAATTGCTTGAACCTGGGAGATGGAGGTTACAGTGAGCCAAGATCGCGCCACTGCACTCCAGCCTGGGCGACAGAGCAAGACTCCATCTCAAAAAAATAAAAATAAAATAAAAAGTGGGGGCCAGGCACGGTGGTTCACACGTGTAATCCCAGCACTTTGGGAGGCTGAGGCAGGCAGATCACAAGGTCAGGAGTTAGAGACGAACCTGGCCAATATGGTGAAACCCCATCTCTACTAAAAATGCAAAAATTAGGCGGGCATGGTGGCGGGCACCTGTAGTCCCAGTTGCTCAGGAGACTGAGGCAGGAGAATTGTTTGAACCCGGGAGGTAGAGGTTGTAGTGAGCTGAGATCACACCACTGCACTCTGGCCTGGGTGACACAGCAAGACTCCCTCTCCAAAGAAAAACAAAGGATGCATTCTACTTTGCCACGATCAAATTTTATTAACTCGAAGAACCACCAAAGTCCCACATCTTCCATGAAACTGAAGCATTCCTAACAGCCCAGGGCTGTTCGAGCTTTAATGTACAAATAAATCACCTACATCCCCTAGGGGATCTTGGTACGTGCAGATGCTGACTGAAAAGGCCTGGGGTGAGGCCTGAGAGTTGGCATATCTTTTTAAATTTTTTTTTTTGAGACAGTCTCACTCTGTGGCCCAGGCTAGAGTGCAGTGGTACCATCTCAGCTCACTGCAACCTCTGCCTCCCAGGTTCAAGCAATTTTCCTGCCTCAGCCTCCCGAGTAGCTGGGATTACAGGTGTGCACCACCAAGCCTGGCTAATTTTTGTAGTTTTAGTAGAGACAGGGTGTCACCACATTGTCCAAGCTGGTCTCAAACTCCGGTAATTCGCCTGCAATGGCCTCCAAAAATGCTGGGATTACAGGTGTGAGCCACAGTGCCTGGCCCCTAGTTGGCATTTCTAATAAGCTCCCAGGTGATGCCGGTGCTACTGCTCCCTGGACCACTCTTGGATTACCATGGCCTCAGAAATCCCTTCCAGAATTTCCATGGTTACTTTCTATTCAGTCAAGAAGTGTGTATTAAAACTACTCTCTATCTGCCTATCTCAGGAACAGACAGAACAATTCTTACCTTGAAAAACTACTGTCTAATGCAAGCTTGCCCAACCCGCGGCCCGCGGCCCAGGACAGCTTTGAACGTGGCCCAACACAAATTTGTAAACTTTCTTTTTTATTTTCTTTTTTAAGACCAGTCTCACTCTGTTGCCTACGCTGGAGTGCAGTGGTGCAATCTCAGCTCACTGCAACCTCCGCCTCCCGGGTCCAAGTGATTCTCTTGCCTCAGCCTCCCAAGTAGCTGGGATTACAGGCGCCCACCACCGCACCTGGCTAGTTTTGCTTTTTGAGATGGAGTCTCGCTCTGTTATCCAGGCTGAAGTGTAGTGGTGCGATCTTGGCTCACTGCAACCTCCGCCTCCCGGGTTCAAGAGATTCTCCTGCCTCAGCTTCCTGAGTAGCTGGAATTACAGGCATGTGCCACCATGCCTGGCTAATTTTTGTGTTTTTAGTAGAGACTGAGTTTCATCATGTTGGCCAGGCTGGTCTCGAACTCCCAGTCTCAAGTGATCTGCCTGGTTCAGCCTCCTAAAGTGCTGGGATTACAGGCGTGAGCCACCATGCCCGGCTCATACATTTGTAAACTTTCTTAAAACATTATGAAGGGCCAGGCACGGTGGCTCATGCCTGTAATCCCAACACTTTGGGAAGCTGATGCAGGCGGATCACCTGAGGCCAGGAGTACAAGACCTGCCTGACCAACATGGAGAAACCGTCTCTACTAAAAATACAAAATTAGCTGGGCGTGTGGCACATGCCTGTAATCCCAGCTACTCAGGAGACTGAGGCAGGAGAATCGCTTGAACCCAGGAGGTGGAGGTTGTGGTGAACTGAGATTGCGCCATTGTACTCCAGCCTGGGCAACAAAGTGAAACTCCATCTCACGAAAAGAAATATGGGATTTTTTTTTTTGCAATTTTTATTTTTTTAAGTTCATCAGCTATGGTTAGTGTGAGTGTATTTTCTGTGTGGCCCAAGACAATTCTTCTTCCAGTGTGGCCCGGAGAAGCCAAAAGATTGGATACCCCTGGCCTAACGGGAAGGGCACACAGGCAAGCCTTACAGCACAGCATGAAGAGTGCCATGACGAAAGTTGACCCAAGTTCCCATGGGACCACAGAGACAGGGGCACTTACAGAGTGGAGCAGGGGAGACAGGGGCAGCAGCAAAGCCTTTCCCCGGAAAGTGACTCTGGACTGTAGGAATGGAGATGGGGAAGATGGGGTGCTTTCCCCACAGCAGGAACAGCATGCGCAACACCCAGACGTCTCACCTCTGGAAGCCAGGGACCACCTGACCCCGAGGTCACCTCTGCTTGCTGTTTGTCTAAGATCCACGGCATGTCTGGATCTCACCATCCACCTGTGCCTTGACTTGCACAGCCTGCCTGTGATTAAGCTGTAACTGGACAGTTTAGACCCTGTATTTACATCTGGAGTCCTGGAGATCTCGGGGCATCCATGGCTTGCTGATTTCCAATGACTAGGGAATAAGGAGCAATGACACAAAAAGGACAGGACAATGGTTACAGATGAAAGCCAAAAGCAGAGAAGGCATCTGAAACCAGGACTGGCTAAAGACTGAATACATAAGTTGATGAAAATGGTGAGTAAGGTCTATGTCCGAATGAAGAGTAATTTTGCTAAAATAAACCAGCTAGGGTCTGGTTAACAGGGCACAGAGGATGAGAAGCAGCTGGAAACAAAGGACAACAGCCGGATGGAGAGAAACCCTGAAAGTGGACAGAACCCAAGTGACTCAAGGAGGGAGCAGTCTGTGCCTAGGAGAAGTTGGTGCTGAAGCAAAGACAAGATGTGGCCAGGCGTGGTGGCACATGCCTGTGATCCCAGCTACTCGGGAGGCTAAGGCAGAAGAATCGCTTGAACCTGGGAGGTAGAGGTTGCAGTCACACGACTGCACTCCTGCCTGGGCAAGAGTGAGACCCTATTTTAAAAAAAAAAAAAAAGCAAAGACGAGATGGCTCAGAAGATGGGAGGAGGATGGATTCAGTCAGGCTGCTTGGGTTCAAATCCCAGCTCTGTTATTCCATAGCTTTGTGACGTGGGACAAATCAACTAAACCTCTCGAGGCCTCAGCTTAATTTTTTTTTTTTTTTTGAGACAGAGTCTTGCTCTGTCGCCCAGGCGGGAGTGCGGTGGCACAATCTCCACTCACTGCAACCTCCATCTCCTAGACTCAAGTGATTCTCCTGCCTCAGACTCCCAGGGAGCTGGACTACAGGCACCTGCCACCACACCCAGCTAATTTTTTTTGTATTTTTAGTAGAGATGATGGGGTTTCACCATGTTGGCCAGGCTGGTCTCAAACTCCTGACCGCAGGTGATCTGCCCGCCTTGGCTTCCCAAAGTGCTGGGATTACAGGCGTAAGCCACAGGCCCAGCCCTGAGCTTAATTTCTAACAGAAGGATAACAGTAACAGCTATTCCACTGAGCTACTGCAAGGATTACCTGTTGGCACATCCAGGTGTACTGTACACAATTCTAGTGTTCCCATTTCTTTCCTGAGCAGTTTTTTTGTTTGTTTGTTTTGTTTTGTTTTTCGAAATGGAGTCTCACTCTGTTGCCCAGGCCTGAGTGCAGTGGCACAATCTCGGTTCATTGCAACCGCCGCCTCCCAGGTTCAAGCGATTCTCCTGTCTTAGCCTCCTAAGTAGCTGGGATTACAGGCATGTACCACCACACCTGGATAATTTTTGTATATTTTTAGTAGAGACGGGGTTTCACCATGTTGACCAGGCTGGTCTCAAACTCCTGACCTCAGATGATCCACCCACCTCAGCCTCCCAAGGTGCTGGGATTACAAGCATCAGTCACCGCCCCAGGCTTTTCTGAGAAATTTTAAATTTCATTTTTAATTTTTTGTTATGGAGACAGAGTCTGACTCTGGCTCCCAGGCTGGACTGCAGTGGCACCATCACAGCTCATTGCAGCCTCGAACTCCTGGGCTCAAGCAATCTCCCACCTCAACCTCTGGTATAGCCAGGACACAGGTGTGTGCCACCATGCCTGGCTAACTTTTTTTTTTTTTTTTTTCTGAGATAGAGTTTTGCTCTTGTCACCCAGGCTGGAGTGCAGTGGTGCAATCTCGGCTCACGGCAAATTCCACCTCTCGGGTTCAATCAATTCTCCTGCCTCAGCTTCCTAAGTAGCTACTAGGATTACAGGCATCCACCACCATGACTGGCTAATTTTTTGTATTTTTAGTGGAGATGGGGTTTTGCCATGTTGGTCAGGCTGGTCTCAAATTCCTGACCTCAGGTGATCCACCCGCCTTGGCCTCCCAAAGTGCTGGAATTACAGGCATGAGCCACCGCGCATGGCCAATTTTTGTATTTTTTGTAGAGGCGAGTTTTCGTCACGTTGCCCAGGCTGGTCTCAAACTCCTGGGCTCAAGAGATCCACCTGCTTCAGCCTCCCAAAATGCTGGGATTACAGGCATGAAGCTACTTTCTTTTATACCAAAAATAAGATCACTAACACCTTTGTTTAGCTTTCATTGAACATGGTTGAGAATTCCGAATTTTTCATTTGCTGCCCACATTGGCAGAGAGGAAAATTTGCAGAGGACGACTATTATCAGTCAATTCAGAAGATGACACAGAAAGACAGCTACACTCTCCAATGAGAATGATGAAACTGAAAGTGTAACAGAGCTTCTAGAATGAGTTTCAAATGATAACATCCTAGATGAATTTTCTTAAACTCAAGAATCAATGATGAAAAATGTATTTCTAATTTCAAAATGGAAAACGGCATTCTTATCTTGTGAGTCATTCAACAGGAAGGACTTCATCACACAGTATTTTGCAATAAGAAGAAGATGGTAAGAGATTCTGGACCATCACATTTTGCTAGAAGGACTTTCTAAAAGCATTGTGTGACAGTATTCTTTTCTTTTTTGAGACAGAGTCTTGCTCGTTGCCCAGGCTGGAGTGCAGTGCCGTGGTCTTGGCTCACTGCCACCTTTGCCTCCTGGGTTCAAATGATTCTCCTGCCTCAGCCTCTTGAGTAGCTGGGATTACAGGCGCACACCACCATGCCCAGCTAATTTTTTGTATTTTTAGTAGAGACGGGGTTTCATCATCTTGGCCAGGCTGGTCTCCAACTCCTGACCTCAGGTGATCCACCCACCTTGGCCTCCCAAAGTGCAGGGATTACAATTGTGAGCACCCAGCCAACGTATTCTTGTATCTTTTTTTCTTTTTTTTTTTTTTCCTGAGATGGAGTCTCACTGTGCTGCCAGGCTGGAGTGCAGTGCCGCAGCCTTGGTCACTGCAATCTCGCGCCTCCCTGGTTCAAGCAATTCTCCTGCCTCGCCTCCCGAGTGCTGACTACAGGTGGCACGCCACCCACACCCTGCTAATTTTTTGTATTTTTAGCAGAGACAGGGTTTCACCATGTTGTTGCCAGGATGGTCTCCGATCTCCCTGACCTTGTGATCTGCCTGCCTTAGGCTCCCAAAGTTCTAGGATTACAGCGTGAGCCGCCGTGCCTAAGCCGTTTTTTTTGTTTGTTTTTTTGAGGCAGAGTTTATTTCTTCACCCACGTTGGATGTGCTCTGGCACAATCTCAGCTTATTGCAACCTCCACTTCCGAGTTCAAGCAATTCTCGTGCCTCAGCCTCCCGAGTAAGTGGGATTACAGGCTCATGCACCACACCCAGCTAATTTTTGTACTTTTAGTAGAGACAGGTTTCACCCTGTTGTCCAGGTTGGTCTCAAACTCCGACATCAAGTGATCTGCCTGCGTCAGCCTCCCAAATTGCTGGGATTACAGGCGTGTGGCCACTGTGCCCAGCCTCTTCCTCTTTTATGATGTTCATACATAAAAATGGTACTTGATATATTAAAGTTTCTAAAAAGTTGTTTTTACTATCCTTTGATTCTTCTGTCAAACTATGCATAAAATGACTCTTAAAATAGAAAAAAAATGGCGGGCCGGTGGTCACGCCTGTAATCCCAGCACTTTGGGAGGCTGAGGCGGGCAGATCACGAGGTCAAGGAGATCGAGACCATCCTGGCTAACAGGTGAAACCTGGTCTTTCACTAAAATACAGAGAAATTAGCTGGGCGTGGTGGTGGCGGCGTCTATAGTCCACAGTTACTCGGAGGCTGAGGCAGGAGAATGGTGAACGGGAGGCGGAGCTTGCAGTGAGCGAGATCGTGCCATTGCACTCCAGCCTGGGCGGGACCAGAGCAAGACTCCGTCTCAGGAAAAATAAAATAAAATAAAAAAATAAAATAGAAAAAACGAAAAAAAAAATTAGGGAGGATTCACTGGCCCCACAGGTCAACCAGAAGATCTATTTTTCCTGGGCACTGAGGGTTAAATGAGTGCTTTTAGGGAAAATGCTTAGAACACGTTCCTGCACAGAGCACATGCTATGGAAGCCACATCGCTGCTGCTGCGCCTGTTGCTTTTATCACAGCGAAAGGAAGCTGGAAATGGATTAGGGCTGAGGGACACATGTCAAGGAGAAGACCTGACCAACAAACCGGAGCCTAGAAGTCTGGAATTCAAAACCAAGAAGAATACAGTCCCTTATCCACAGTCTTTTATCACACAATGCTGAAATCTGAAAGCTGAAATACCAAAGGTGTTCCTTTCCTTTCATTAAACTTAGGGCGTTGAACTAATTTGACAGCAAATTTGACCTGATGTGAAGGTATTTAATCTTTATGTTAATAAACTTAGTATAAAAAATGCACACATTTCACTGCAGAAATATTAATGTGTGTGATTACAGGACCAACTCAAACCCTGTTGCTAGTTTGATGGTGGTATATAAGTCATATTATCCAAAAAAAATTAAAATAAAATAAATTCATATTACCTTACTAAATCTGCAAAATGCTGAATTCTAAATATATCTGACACCAAGGGCCTTCTGATTAGGGACTGAACACATCATAATATAATACTCAGCTGTTCCTTTTTTCTAACTTGAATGTGTATCTAAGACTGGTTAATAAAACTGAGGAGGGGGAAAAAGAGAGAGAATAAATGTTTTAAAGGTCACTGTGAAAAGCTACTTTAAGTTAGATTCAAGGTGAGTGAATGAGCAGCGAGAAATGAATGCAATTAGGAACTGGGGAGCTTTTTTTTTTTTAACAAACGCATGTAAGACAAGAAAATCTGGTGAGGGAGGCCTGGGCACAGGTGGCCGATACCTCTAATTGTCAGCACTATTGGAAGGACAAGGCAGGGTGGATTATCACTTGAGGCCAGGAGTTCAAGACCAGCCTGGCCAACATGGTGAAACCCCATCTCTACTAAAAATACAAAAATTAGCCGGGCATGGTGGCAGGCACCTGTAGTCCCAGCTACTCGGGAGGCTGAGGTGAGGGTATCACTTGAACCTGGGAGGCAGAGGGTGCAGTGAACCAAGATCATACCACTGCTCTTCATCCTGGGCAAAAGGGCGAGACTCTATCTCAAAAATAAAAGAAAGACAATCTATGACAGAGAAGCAAAAATCTGTGATACTTTTGTAAAAGACCTGTAGATCTTTTAACAGTCCCTGTACCCAGAGCTGTCATCATTTGCACTGTAGCTTTTTAATGAAACTGGTGTAATTCCTAGACATCCTAGGGATGGCTTTCATGGAACACCAGGGACTCAACTCCAGGTCCCTGGCCTTTCTCTGCTTCTAGACCCTGCAGGCTATAGAGAGGCTGCTCAGCCTAGAGTCCCTCTCCTGCAGATGGTGCCTGCCACATGGCCAAGACACCCATTCTCAAGCTCTATCTGTTCCACTGCATCACTGAGCCTCACCATTTTCCTCCAGGAGATGAGGCTTCTGTGGCGCTTGCTCTGGCTGGGTGTCCACGGTCAGGAGCTGGGGACTGCAGGACTCCTGCACTGCTCCAGGTGGTGCCATCTTCTGAGGAAGCCCGTCAGGGCAGGCGACAATCTAACAACCACAACCACAACCGATCAGTACAGTTATAGAGAAGGCTATGAAAGAAATCAGTAGAGTCACAGTGGACTTTCATTCATTCCTTTGCCAAATATTTAATGTGCATCTACAATGAGCCAGGCACTGATTATGCAGTTATTTAATAAATATGGTTTACTTCTAGTTGGAGAAGACGTTCATCAAACACATCAAAACACAAAAAATACATAATTACGAACTGGGCTGTATGTTGGAAAGGAAAAGAAACTAATTCCATGAGACAGAACACAGGAGACCTATTTTAGACTGGGAGGCCAGGGAAGGCTTTCCAGAGGAAGTGTCCCTTAAGTAAACACTTAAAGGTTGAGAAGGGCTGGGCTCCGTGGCTCACAACTATAATCCCAGCACTTTGGGAGGCCGAGGCGGGCGGATCATGAGGTCAGGGGGTCAAGACCATCCTGGCTAACACAGTGAAACCCCATCTCTACTAAAAAAAAAAATACAAAAAAATTAGCTGGGTGTGGTGGCGGGCTCCTGTAGTCCCAGCTACTCAGGAGGCTGAGGCAAGAGAAAAGAGAATGGCGTGAACCCGGGAGGCGGAGCTTGCAGTGAGCCGAGATCAGGCCACTGCGCTCCAGCCTGGGTGACAGAGCAAGACTCCGTCTCAAACCTGAAAAAAAAAAAAAAAAAAAAAAAAAGGATGAGAAGAAGCCAGCCAGGAAAAACGCAGAAGTGACCCAGGCAGACAGAACACTCAAAAACTCTCTCAGGGCCAGGTAGGGGTAGCTCATGCCTGTAATCTCAACACTCTGGGAGGCTGAAGTGGATCACTTGAGCCCAGGAGTTCAAGACAAGCCTGGGAAACCCAGTGAGATCCTGTCTCTCCAAAAAACTAAAAATTAGCCAGGCATGGTGGCATGTCCCTGTGGTCCCAGCTACTCAGGAGGCTGAGGTGGGAAGATCACTTGAGCCCAGGACGTCAAGGCTGCAGTGAGCTATGATCACACCATTGCACTCTAGCCTTGGTGACAGAAAGACAAGAAAAGAAAAGAGAAAAAGAAAAAGGAAGGAAGGAAGGGAGGGAGGGAGGGAAGGAAGGAAAATTAGGCAGAAAGAGGATGTCTGGTACAGTCAGGAACCATAAGAAGGCCAGTGTGTGAAGAGGAAATAGAGGTGAGAAGAGAGATTGGAATAGTCATCATAGCACTCAGGAAGTCACACTGGACAGACCAACATCGAGACTGAGGCTACCTCACACCCTGCATGCTACAGTCCTCCCCCTTTCTGTTTTTGGTTCTGGCTCAGCCCTAGGTATACACAATTACTCTGCCACAACCACTCTCTAGAACCTGCCAATTCTGGAAGGTACTAGTTCACTACTAACATATTGGAATGTAGTAAGTTCCTTTCCCGTTTTCTCCCTCCCTTAGGTTTCAAAGCACTTTTTTTCCGAACCCTCCTGGTACTGGTAAAATGTGGTGTAGGAGTTCCGTTAAGAGACAGCTGCAGGCCGGGCATGGTGGCTCATGCCTGTAATCCCAACACGTTGGGAGGCAGAAGCAGGTGGATGACTTGAGTTCAGGAGTTTGAGACCAGCCTGGGCAACATGGCGAGACCATGCCTCTACTAAAAATACAAAAATGAGCCAGGTCTGGTGGCATACATCTATAGTCCCAGCTACTCGGGAGGCTGAAGTAGAAGGATCGCTAGAGCCTGGGAGGCAGAGGTTGCAGTGAGCTGAGATTGTACCAATGCACTCCAGCCTGGGTGACAGAGCAAGATTCTGTCTCAAAAATATAAATAAACAGGCCAGGAGCGGTGGCTCACGCCTGCAATCCTAGCACTTTGGGAGGCCAAGGCGGGCAGATCGCCTGAGGTAAAGAGTCCAAGATCAGCCTGACCAACATGGATAAACCCCATCTCTAACAAAAACACAAAGTTAGCCGGGTGTGGTGGCGCACGCCTGTAATCCCAGCTACTCAGTAGGCTGAGGCAGGAGAATTGCTTGAACCTGGCAGGCGGAGGTTGCAGTGAGCCGAGATTATGCCATTGCACTCCAGCCTGACAACAAGAGTGAAACTCCATCTCAAAAATAATAATAATAATAATTAAATTAATAAATAAAAATAAAAAATAAACAAAATCCATTAACCATAAAATAAAATACTTAACTAACTGTATAAAAATGTTAAAACCTTCAGGAGACTGAGGCAGGAGAATCAACCCAGGAGGCGGAGGTTGCAGTGAGCCAAGATCAGGCCACTGCACTCCAGCCTGGGTGACAGAGCAAGACACCGTCTAAAAAAAAGAAAAAAATTTAAAACCTAGCTGGTCACAGTGGCTCACACCTGTAATCCCAGCACCTTGGGAGGGCAACGCAGGAGGATCCCTTGAGCCCGGGAGTTCCAGACCAGCCTAGGCAACTTGGCAAGACCTCATCTACAAAAAAAATTTTTTTTAGTTTAGCTGTATGTGGTGGCAAGTGCCTGTAGTCCTAGCTACTCAAGAGGATCACTTGAGGCCAGGAGTTCAAGACTGCAGTGAGCTATGATCGTGCCACTGTACTCCAGCCTGGATAATGGAGTGAGGCCCTATCTCTAAAGAAAGAAAACATTAAAAACAAAAATCTCCACAAGCAAAGACAAACAGCAAACTGGAAAAATAATGCTTACAACTCATATGACAGACACAATGCTTATTGTTTCTAATAGGTAAAAAAAAAAAGATAAGGAATATAAACAGATAATTCACCACCAAAAAGGGCATACAAATAATCCTTAAAAATATATGCTGTGGTCAAACAAAAGAAATTCCAATTGAAATTTCACAGAAATGGCCGGGCGTGGTGGCTCACACCTATAATCCCAGCACTTTGGGAGGCCAAAGTAGGTGGATCACCTGAGGTCGGGAGTTTGAGAACATCCTGGCCACCGTCTCTATTAAAAATACAAAAATTAAGCCAGTCATGGTGGCTCATGCCTGTAATCCTAGCACTTTGGGAGGCAAAGGCAGGAGGATCACCTGAGGCCAGGAGTTCAAGACCAGCCTGGCCAACATGGCGAAACCCCATCTCTACTAAAAATATAAAAATTAGTTGGGTGTGGTGGTGCATGTCTGTAATCCCAGTTATTCAGGCTGAGGCAGGAGAATCACTTGAACCCGGGAGGCAGAAGTTGCAGTGAGATGAGATTGCGCCACTGCACTCCAGCCTGGGAGACAGAGCGAGACTCCATCTCAAAAAAATAAAAATTAAAAAACTAAAAAAATTAGCCAGGCGGTAGTGGCGCATGCCTATAATCCCACCCACTTGGGAGGCTGAGGCAGGAGAATCGCATGAGCCTGGGAGATGGAGGATGCAGTGAGCCGAGACTGCACCATTGCACTACAGTCTGGGTGACAGAGTAAGACCCTGTCTCAAAAAAAAAAAAAAAAAAAAAGAAAAAGAAAAAAAAAATTTCACAGAAATAAAATATTGAATCTTTTTTTTTTTTTTTTTGAGACAGAGTCTCACTCTGTCGTCCAGGCTGGAGTGCAGTGGTGCAATCTCGGCTCACTGCAACCTCTGCCCCCCGGGTTCAAGCGATTCTCCTGCCTCAGCCTCCCGAGTAGCTGAGACTACAGGCACATGCCACCACACAGGGCTAATTTTTGTATTTTTAGTAGAGACGGGGTTTCACCATATTGGCCAGGATGGTCTCGATCTGATCTCGTGATCCACCTGCCTCAGCCTCCCAAAGTGCAGGGATTACAGGCGTGAGCCACTGTGCCCGGCCAATACTGCATCTTATGTACTGGCAATTATCACAAATTTTGGTAACATTGTGCTATCAGGTTATGGCCACAAAATTTCTCTCATACATTGTTGGTGGTAGTCTAAATTGTTATACCCTCTATGAAGGAACGAGCCTGTCAACAGCTATCAAAATTACAAATGTACTTTTTTTTTTGAGATGGAGTCTCGCTCTGTCGCCAGGCTGGAGTGCAGTGGCACAATCTTGGCTCGCTGCAACCTCCGACTCCCGGGTTCAAGCAATTCTCTTGCCTCAGCCTCCCGAGTGGCTGGGATTACGTGCCACCTCACCCAGCTAATTGTTGTATTTTTAGTAGAGACGGGGTTTCACCATGTTGGCCAGGATGGTCTCGATCTCCTGACCTCATGAACCGCCCACCACAACCTCCCAAAGTGCTGGGATTACAGGTGTGAGCCACCGTGCCCAGCCTACAAATGTACATCTAAGCCAACAATTTTGAGTTTCAAGCACTCCTTCTACAGTTAATTTTATACACATATATTTTTTCAATTTAAATTTTTTAACTTTTTACTTTTTTTTGAAATAGGGTGTGCCTCTGTCACATAGGCTGGAATGCAGTGGCAAAATCACAGCTCACTGCAGCCTCAAACTCCCAGGCTCAAGGGATCCTGCTGCCTCGGCCTCCTGAGTAGCTGGAAGTAAAAGTGCATGCCACCACACCCAGCTAATGTTTTGTTTGGTTTTTCTGGTAGAGATGGGGTCTTGCTACGTTACCCAGGCTAGTGTGGAACTCCTGGCTTTTTTTTTTTTTTTTTTTGAGACAGAGTCTTGCTCTGTGGCCCAGGCTGGAGTGCAGTGGTCGGATCTCGGCTCACTGCAAGCTCCGCCTCCCGGGTTTACGCCATTCTCCTGCCTCAGCCTCCCGAGTAGCTGGGACTACAGACGCCCGCCACCTCGCCCGCTAGTTTTTTGTATTTTTTAGTAGAGACGAGGTTTCACCAGGTTAGCCAGGATGGTCTCGATCTCCTGACCTCGTGATCCGCCCGTCTCGGCCTCCCAAAGTGCTGGGATTACAGGCTTGAGCCACCGCGCCCGGCCGGAACTCCTGGTTTTAAGTGATCCTCCCACCTCAGGTTCCCAAAGTGCTGGGATTACAGGTGTGAGCCACCGTGCCCAGCCCATATGTATATATACACATACATATGTATATTACATACATACATATATATATTCATACATAGGTGAGATATTCATTGCAGCAAAGTTTGTTATAATACAAATTTATAAACAATCTCAAGGAACAATTTAAATGGAACAACTCAAACTCCTTCCATAGAAGTTAATACAATGCAATTTCAAAGAGCGAGATAGCTGTAATGGCAGTGGCATGGAAGAAACCAAGATATAAGAAAAAAGAGGCAGAAGTGTACAGTGACTTAAAAGACAATTGCGTTTTTCCAAAGTATGAGACATATATATATGCTTATACATACATAATATGGTACAGCTCTGTAAGAATACACAGATGAGAACTAGGCAGTTGAGAGAAATTGGGGATAGGAGGAAAACTTACTTTTCATTATAAGCTTATGTACCTCTTTGAATTTTGTATCATGTCACTCAAAAAATAAACACAGTGGCCGGGCATGGTGGTTCACGCCTGTAATCCCAGCACTTTGGGAGGCCGAGGTGGGAGGATCACAAGGTCAGGAGATCGAGACCATCCTGGCTAAAACAGTGAAACCCCGTCTCTACTAAAAATACAAAAATACAAAATAAAAAATAAAATTAGCCAGGCGTGGTGGCGGGCGCCCGCAGTCCCAGCTACTCCGGAGGCTGAGGCGGGAGAATGGCGGGAACCCGGGAGGCGGAGCTTGCGGTGAGCCGAGATTGCGACACTGCACTCCAGCCTGGGTGACAGAGCGAGATTCCGTCTCAACAATCAATCAATCAATCAATCAATCAATACAGTAATTTAAAAAATAAACAAAATCGCAGATTGTCTTCTACAGGTTAACACACTGGATATTGCTTCTCTTTGCTGGAGTGCCAGGAAGTCACAGGGTACCTAATCCCAGAAGAACAAAAGAATATGAATGAAGCACCAGAGGACTAAGAATCTCACCCCTGCTCAGCAGATCGTTCACTCCTCTCCTTCACTGCTCATATAGCTTCTCTTTGACTCACCTGCTGTCTGCGTTCCTCAAGTTCTCGCTGTATATTTTCTATCACGGCCACTGCCTCTTCTCCACTTTCAGGGTGATGTTCTCTCACCCAGGGCTGGAACTCTTCAGGCAGGATGGTCAGGAACTGCTCCAGCACCAGCAGCTCCAGGATCTGCTCCTTTGTGTGCAGCTCGGGCCTCAGCCACTCACAGCAGAGCACCCGGAGTTGGCTGAGAGCCTCCCGGGGTCCTGAAGCCTCATGGTACTGGAAGTGCCTGAAGCGCTGGTAAAAAGTCTCAAACGTTGGAGGGTTGTACTCCTGCATCCAGGTGCAGTCTTCTTCTTCCACCTTCACTATGAGAAGGTCTTCCTGCTCCTGGGAAGTCTCAGCTGGGGGGTCTAAGTCTATAACTTCCCGGGATTCGGTCATTATCATTCCAACTCAGAGGGAAGTCCCTTGAGGCTGGCTGTGTTACACTGAACCAATTGGTTTTCTACTCTTTAAGATCTTCTGAAGGACACTTTCAGTAGCATGCAACCTACTGACGTATTGGGAATCATTATTAGCAAAGACAGATGGCAAAGAGGTCATCTATACTAAAGATGACTACTCAACAAAGTAATTACTTAAAAATAAGGACTACAAAGTAGCCATCACTTCACCCACAAAATGATAAGTAATAAGGAATATCGCCAACATTTAAAAAGTGTATTAGAGAGCCATACAAATCTAACATCAGGCCCAACCTAAAACACAGTTTTAGAGTGAAGAACTTTACATTCCATATAAACAACGGGACAAGACTAGTCCAGACGCAGCCGCTCCTTCTCTCTACCATAAGACAAATTTAAGTCGGAATAGGGGTGAAAATCATTATAATGGTCAAAACTGAGCCTGTCCTCTAACCTACAAGAGCTTGACAGGCCAAGGGGAGACTCCATCGGTCCCAAAGAGAAGCAGCGTTTATAAGGTACACATCTGAACCTGGATTCCTCAGAATGGCCCCTGACCCAGAGATACAGAGACTGTGGCCCGGTCAAGGTTAGGGACAGGACCCCCGTCCAGTCACGAAGCCCCTGCCCTCTCCCCTCAAGGCCCCACTCTAGGGGAGCTCTCCTGGAACATCAAGCGCCCCGCAGCCGAGGCTGGGAAGATGCGGTTCTTCCCACGGAGAGAAACCGAAGCCGACACTTCCCAATACTTCCTCGCCGGAAGTAACCAAGTCCAATCTTGCCCTGTCCAACGGGGTTAAACGGTTAGATCCCACCCCCCCGAAAGCACTTCCGCGTCCTCTCTAGGAATCCCGGAGGACCTCGCCTCGCAGGCGGGGCGGACCAATCGGCGGGGATATGGACGCGGGCCCCAAGGCCCAGCCCACCCTCAGTGACTCGCACGTCCCCAGGGCCCCCGAAGCCGCTCGCACAGCATCATCAAAGCGAGGAGGCAAACGGAGCCACCCTCTCCCCTGCTCCAACCCAAAGCCATTGAAACAGCCCAAGCTCCTCCCCTTTCAGTGGGGCGGGGGAGGGGGAAGGGCCTCCGGGGTTGGGCTGAGGTTGCTCGTGTCTGATTGGCCGGGGAGCTTGCGCCTTCCCCCACCCCCAACGCTCTGCGCCCGGATTCGAAGTAGGTCTGTACCTTGCTGAGAGCTCGCAAACCTCGCTTATGTTGAATTTGGGGCCCTTGGGTTTTCTTCACCCGCATCCTTGCTACTCTCACTACCCACTTTCCAAAGACACCCACCTCTTGACCACCGCAGTAGGCTCAGAAGGCCGATATCTTCAACGTCACACCCGGGAGTCGCGGGGACCATCGGCTCCCAGGACTACATCTCCCAGGAGGGGGCGCGCGGGACTCGCCGGTTGGCCAATGGGGGCGCGGCTCTCTTTGCAGCCTCGGTCTCGCAAGCCTATCAGAAGGTGACAGAGCCGGGAGTCGTGTCCTCGGGAGCCCCGGCAAGAAGGCTGGGGATGGGCGGAGGGAGCGGGGCATCCCTTTGAAAGAAGGGGCGTTGCTTACGCAGGGCTTCCCTGGCCAAGGGGTTCTCATCCTTAATGATAACCTCTTTTCAGCCAGACGCGGGGTCCCATGTTTGTAAGCCTAGCGAATGGACAGGCTAAGGAAGCAAGATAGCTTGAGCACAAGAGTTCGAGACCAGCCTGGGCAACATAGCGAGACCCCCGTCTATTTGTAATACCCTCCCTTGGACGGGCTCCGTGACTCACACCTGTAATGCCAGCTTATTGGGAGGCCGAGGTGGGTGGATCACCTGAGGCCAGGAGTTCGAGACCAGCCTGGCCAACATGGTGAAACCCCCGTCTCTACTAAAAATACAATAACTTAGCTGGGCGTGGTGGCGCGAGCCTGTAATCCCAGCTACTTGAGAAGCTGAGGCAGGAGAATCACTTGAATCCTGGAGGTTGAGGTTGCAGTGAGCCGGGATCGTGCCATTCCACTCCAGCTTCGGCAACACAGTGAGACCCCATCTCTCAGTAATAATCTCTCCTGATTTTTTTTTTTTTTTTTCTGAGACAGAGTCTCGCTCTGTTGCCCAGTCTGGAGGGCAATGGCACGATCTCAGCTCACTGTAACGTCTGCTCCCAGGTTCTAGCAATTCTCTCCTGCCTCAGCCTCTCGAGTAGCTGGGATTACAGGCACGCTCACCACACCCGGTTTATTTTGTATTTTTAGTAGAGACCGGGTTTCCCCATGTTGCCCAGGCTGGTCTCGAACTCTTGACCTCAGGTGATGCTCCTGCCTCGGCCTCCCAGTGCTGGGATTACAGGCGGGAGCCACTGCGCCCGGCCAATCTCTCCTTTTCATATTTTCATATGGTGCCTTATAGTTCCCAAGCCCCACCCCAGTGCCCCGCGCCGTTCACAAAGTTGATGGGCAGGCAGGAGAAGAGTTACTGTTGCCACTGTTTTACAGGCGCGAAGGAAGGAACTGCTGTGAAATTGCAGAATCTGCAAAGAGATGAGAAGATATTTAGAAGTTAAAGGTCTCTTTTCAGGGAACCTAAAATCTTGCATTGTAAGTAGCTTCCTATCTAGGACCGAACCCCAGGTGAATGTTTGCATTGCCTGTACTTTGTGTGTGAGTGAGGTGGTATAGGATTTTGCACCTATGGCTTAATTTCGTTGCCCTTATAAAGTTGTTTAATGTCTATGAAAGTTGCTCCAGATGGGCATGGTGCCTCACGCCTGTAATCCCAGCATTTTGGGAGGCCGAGGTGAGAGGATCACTTGAATCCAGGAGTTCAAGACCGGCCTGCCCTTTTTACCCTGTCTCTGCAAAAAATAAAATAAAATTAGCTAGGCATGGTGGTGCATGCCTGTAGTCTCAACTACTCAGCAGGCTGAGACTGGAGGATCACTTGAGTTCAAGAGGTTGGGGCTGCAGTGAGTTACGATTGTGCCATCGCACTTCAGCACCTCAATGACAGAGACAGCCCTTCTCAAAAAAAAAAAAAAAAAAAAATTTAAGGTGGATATCCATTCTTTTCTAATATATTTACCTCCATTTGAATTATTTATTTATTTATTTTTATTTATTTATTTTGAGACGGAATCTCACTTTGTTGCCCAGGCTGGAGTGCAGTGGCGCGATCTCGGCTCACTGCAACCTCCGCCTCCCAGGTTCAAGTGATTCTCCTGCCTCAGCCTCCCGAGTAGCTGGGATTACAGGCACGTGCCACCACACCTGGCTAATTTTTTGTGTTTTTAGTAGAGACGGGGTTTCACCGTGTTAGCCAGGATGCTCTCGATCTCCTGACCTTGTGATCTACCTGCCTCGGCCTCCCAAAGTGCTGGGATTACAGGGGCGAGCCACCGCAACCGGCCTGAATTATTTATAAATACCTTTTGCATTTCAATAATTTATTTCTTAAATAGATAACAGATTTGCATGAGTCAAAATTCAGAAAGGCACTTAAAGTCTTCCTCTCATTCTCTTTCTACATTCATTTTTCTCTCTAGAGATAGCCAAGATGACTAGTTTCTTTCTTTCTTTTTTTTTTTTTTTTTGAGATGGAGTTTTGCCCGTTGCCCAGGCTGGAGTCAGTGGTGCGATCTTGGCTTACCGGAACCTCTGCCTCCCGGGTTCAAGCAAATTCTCCTGCCTCAGCCTCCCATGTAGCTGCGATTACAGGCATAAGCCACCATGCCCGGCTAATTTTGTATTTTTTAGTAGAGATGGGGTTTCTCCATGTTGGTCAGGCTGGTCTTGAACTCCCGACCTCAGGTGATCCACCCACCTTGGCCTCCCAAAGTGCTGGGATTACAGGTGTGAGCCACCACACCTGGCACCATAGGTGACATTTTTATGTCTAGTTATTAAACATGCCTGGATTGATAAATAGTGTTTGGTTTGTTTGGGCCTGGGGTGGAGACGGGGGTTGCTTGAACCCAGGAGGCGGAGGTGCAGTGAGCCGAGGTCTGGAGTTCAAGACCATCCTGGCTAACATGGTGAAACCGCATCTCTCCTAAAAATACAAAAAATTAGCCGGGTGTGGTGACACGCGCCTGTAATCCCAGCTACTCGCGAAGCGTAATCCCAGCTACTTGGGAGGCTGAGGCAGGAGAATCGCTTGAACCTGAACGAGACTCCATCTCAAAAAAAAAAAAAAAAATTTAAATTTTGTATGGAGACACAGTCTCACTATGTTGCTCAGGCTGGTCTGGAACTCCTGGGCTCAAGCGATCCTCTCATTTTATGCAAGTTGCAAGTCACCAGCAGCTTGACATCAACCAAGGCACTTTGTTTTAGAGATAGACTCTTGCTCTGTCACCCAGGCTGGAGTGCCGTGGTCGGATCATATCTCACTGCAGTCTTGACCTCCTGGGCTCAAAGGATCCTCTGACCTCAGCCTCCTGAGTAAGTGGTGTGTCAGGAGTTGGTTCCTTCCGGTGGGTTCTTGGTCTCCCTGACTTCAGGAATGCAGCTGCAGACCTTCGCAGTGTTACAGCTCTTAAAGATGGCACTGACCCAAAGAGTAGCAGCAAGACTTACTGTGAAGAGCAAAAGAACAAACCTTCCACAGCATGGAATGGGACCCCAGCGGGTTGCCGCTGCTGGCTGGGGTGGCCAGCTTTTAATCCCTTATTTGTCCCCTCCATGTCCTAGTTCTGTCATATCAGAATGCCCTTTTCTCCGTCTTCCCTGCGATTGGCTACTTTTAGTATCCTGCTGATTGGTCCATTTTACAGAGCGCTGATTGGTGCATTTTTACAAACCTCTTGTAAGACAGAAAAGGCCAAGTCCCCACTCCACCCAGGAAGTCCAACTGGCTTCCCCTCTCACTAGGACTACAGATGCACGCCACCACACCCAGCTAATTTTTTATTTTTTTGTATAGATGGGGGTCTCCAATTCCCGACTTCAAGCGATCTCTACCCCTTGGCCTCCCAAAATGCTGGGATTACAGGCATAAGCCACTGAGCCAGGCCAGGACACATCTTTGAGCCTCAATTTCCTCATCTTTGTTAGGATTAAAGTCGTTAACATCTGATGTACATGGAAGCACTTAGTCTAAAAAAAAAAAACCAAAAAAACAAAAAAACTTTTTCTAACCGGGTGCAGTGGCTCACGCCTGTAATCCCAGCACTTTGGGAGGCCAGGGCAGGCGGATCTCACGAGGTGTGGAGATCGAGACCAGCCTGACCAACAGGGTGAAACGCCATCTGTACTAAAAATACCAAAATTAGCCAGGCATGGTGGCGCGCGCCTGTAGTCCAAGCTGCTGAGGAGGCTAAGACAGCTTGGCGACAGAGCGAGAGTCCGTCTCAAAAAAGAAAAAACAAAAAACTTTGTCCAACCTGGGCAATATAGTGAAACCCCGTCCCTACAAAAAAATTAATACAGCTGGGCGTGTTCGCGCGCACCTGTAGTCCTAGATACTTGAGAGGCTGAAGCTGGAGAACTGCTTGAACCCGGGAGACAGAAGTTGCAGTGAGCCGAAATCGCGCCACTGCAGTCCAGCCTGGGCGACAGAGCCAGACTCTGTCTATTTAATCCTGAAAGTTCCCGCACTTGCCGGAGCTCGGGCCACCGGCTCGGACGCCTGTATTTCCCTGGGCTGCAGGAAACCGTCAAGACCCACTGCGTCGGGCGGGGCTCCGACGATAAACCAGCGAGATGCACCTCACCCCATCAGGCGCCTAGAGAGGCCCCGGAAATGCAGGGAAGGGTGCCGCAGGGCGTCCGTGACGCACTTCCGGCACGGGATGTTTTCGGTGGCTGGACTGAGAGAGCTGTAGACGCAAAGCTGAGGAAAGGAAGAAGTGTGGGAGAGGGGCCTGGTGTGGTGGGGCCCGGTGTTTGGGACCGGAGGGTTTGAGGGCTGATGAGTTCCTTGGGTTTGCTCTTTCTTCACCTGAAAGGAAGACTCCAGGAAGGGCAGCACATGCCGGAGAAAGATGAATTCCAGCTTGACCGCCCAGAGTCGCGGCAGTGACGCCGAGTTGGGACCCTGGGTGATGGCTGCGAGGTCCAAAGAAGCGGCGTCGTCCCAACGCGACGGACTTTTGCCCGTGAAAGTGGAGGAAGACTCACCCGGAAGTTGGGAGCCCGGCTATCCAGGGGCTTGGCCAGACCCCGAAACTTCTCGACTGCACTTTAGGCAGCTGCGTTATCAGGAGGTGGCTGGACCGGAAGAGGCGCTGAGCCGGCTCCGAGAACTCTGTCGTCGGTGGCTGAGGCCTGAGCTGCTCTCCAAGGAGCAGATCCTGGAGCTGCTGGTGCTGGAGCAGTTCCTCACCATCCTGCCCGAGGAGCTCCAAGCCTGGGTGCGAGAGCACTGCCCGGAGAGCGGGGAGGAGGCAGTGGCCGTGGTGCGGGCTCTGCAGCGAGCGCTCGATGGAACCTCACCTCAGGTGAGAAGCGAAAGA